ACCAAAATAAAAAATCCCTACTCATTACCCCATTTATTACAAATCCACCACTGGGGAGGTGGAGATGATTTCTGAACTCTGCATAATAGCAACAATGGGGCCAATTTGTATTGACTTTGAGACTGATCAACTAAGCATTGAAAGTAACATATTTATATTTGAATATTAATATTAAAAATAAAAAGATACAAACAAAAACTCTACAAAGTGCACGTATACAAGTATGGAAAGTTGTCACAATAAAGTTTGGTTGGAGAGCATATCCAAAGGTCAAATGTTTAGATTAAGGAGAAACTGTTTAAAACTGTATTTAAGGAACAAGCAAATTAATTAAAAATTAAATTTACACAAAAAAGTTACAAGATAGAGTCCATAGAAACTGTTATTGATCAGACTCATATGACTAATATGAATGCTCTTATTAAAACCAAAAATTTTAAAAAAACACAATGATTTTTTTTTCCTTACCAATGGTATTAGATTACATCAACAAAAATAAACATATCAAATTTTTTTTTTTTACATTTAAATATATTGGCAACCATGAGTATCCCTAGGCAGCCAATGCTTCTATAATCAAAGGCTCAATTGGGGTGGGTAGAATGGGAAAAATGGAAAAATGGCAATACAGAAAGCTGTAATTAACTGAGGACTGTTTGGAAAAGGTGAATGACACCAAACATAAGTGGAGAGTATAGGCCACCCGGGCCCCTCCCTCCCCTGGCCCCCCGGGCCTCAGACGAGGGCTGCGGGGCGGGGGGACGGGGGTCCTCGGGTGCAACTGAAAGGACCGACACAGTACAGATGTAGCCTGGGATGGGTTGGGGCTCAGTTAGGTGGCCCCTTGGGCCTCGCGGTCGCGCCGGGACGTATCCTGGCGTGGACGCTTGGCGGCGAGGGTGCCATGCTCCTGACACTACTTGAGACTAGCTCCGGACAGCCCCCACCCCCGACAGCAACAGGCACAAAATTTGCACGGCCCCTCAAAATTGAAATACAGATCCAAAAACGGACTGTAGAGCAGCCCGGACCCCCGGACCTCACAGACTCACACACTACGACAAAACGACAAGGAGATAAACCCAAATCCCAGTGAAGAAACCCCTGACCGATGAACACTAGACCTAACGGAGAAGTGACAGAGACGAGAACAGACTGCCCGACACACTACTCGAACACCCTAGCTACCTCAGATAGGAAGAAATGACAGTTCCCCTTCCCGGAGATCCGGTACAGGCCCCACGGGGGACAAGTATAGGCGGTGGACCCGACAGACTCCTCATAGCCCTGCTCAGACAGCAGTCTGTAATGTGGAATAGGAACTTTGACTAATTGGTGTCTACATAGCCAAAATGTAATGTTTACATGTTATTAAGATATGTGCAAATGTTGAATGTTCACCCTTGTTAAACTGCATAATGGTACTACCTAGAGACAGAGACCTGGAAACACTTAAAGAGCTCGGGCCTGTGCCTCCCCTGGCCTCCCCTCGCCCCCTACTGGGGTGGGGGGGCAGAATGGAGGGGGCGGTGGCTACGAACGAAGGTTGAAAGGTGGATGATATATTCTCATGGCTAATAAACAGCAGTCATCACCCGACTGCGGACAACCTCTCAAAAGGTTACTCCCTATACTCCCAACCATCACTGCCCGCTCACGAAAAACACCTTCACCCACACTTGGAGAGAAGCGGTCAGGCGACAGGACCCACATCTTACTGGCATAGTCTGTAAGCCCAGTAACCCCCACCTTCCCTACCCAGTGGGTCGGGGTGGAGGGACCCTACCACCTCTCCCCCCACTTAACCCACTCACCCTCACTCCCCCCTCACTCCTTACCCCCTCTTTTCTCCCCCTACACCCTACTTTGTCCAAAGGCACATGCTCATCCAAAAGACCAAATACAACGCCAACACCAAAAAGATCAAAATGCCAATACAGATTAAGTGCATGTCGCTCAATACCAAGGGACTCAACTCACCCAGGAAAAGGCACACATTACTTAGATGGGCACATAGACAACCAGCCTATATACTCATGATTCAGGAAACTCACTTCACAGTACAAAAACACTTCCCTCTGACCAACCGCTACTATAAACAGAGTTTCAAGGCAAATTCACCAGACACGAAAACAAAAGGAGTAGCTATTTTTACTAAAAACATTATGCCCACTGACGGACATCACCATGACCTCAGATCCACAAGGCAGGTATGTGAATATCACAGGGAAGATATGCACCCACAAATACTCCTTTTGTTCCCTATATGCCTCCACTACACCAGACTTCTGGCAACAATTCTCTACCCATCTCAAGTCACAACCTAATACCCGCCACAAAATATGGGACCCATGGCTGGAAGGAGACACTACTCAACCATGGTAACCAACCAAACGACACCCAACTCTAACACCAGTAATGCTAGAGACCCGGACACTTAAAAGAAAAGAAATGTGTCCCCCTTTATCTCCCTCTCTCCCGCTATCTACCCTTCCCTCCCACCCCCTCAGCCCCCACCTACCGGGACCACAACCCACCCAACCACCCACCCCAAACCACACTAATGGGCCACAGAGCCTAAACATTTGTTCTCACTATGTATTACCCTTGTTGTTGTTATCGTTATTGACCTTAAACGGCACACAAAGAATTACGACAAAGAACAGGACCAGAGGAAAACTCCAGTACACGAGGTAGCACAGAAGCTAACAAATGCCACAAATGTACAACCCTCTGGTAACATACTAAGCGATTGTAATTCATGTAACCATATATGTACACTGTAATATGCGATGAAATCACCTAACGCATCCTCTTTGTTCTGTAACCAATGAAACTGTAAAAAGATACAAACAAAGAATAAAAAAAAAATATTGGCATCTTCTAAAAGAAAATGGAATGTTAAAAGATATTATTCATGATAAACAGACAATTATTCTTTATTGTATACAGCAGCTACCATTTACTTTTATACTTTTTGAATAATTTCTGAATTTTTAACTTTCTGTTGCGCTCTTTTGCTTGTTTTTATCAGCACTTATTTCACTTTAAGAACCCATGTGGTCTGTATAGGAGGTATACCCCTTTAAAATGTTTAAAACCCATATAATAACCTACAAGGGTTATTTAAAAGTTTCTAACAGACTTGAGTACTTATTTTCTTCTTATATATTTACATGTTTTTTGTCAGTACTCGTTCCATTTTGAGAATTTTATGTGGTTCTTGTAGGGTGTTAAAACTAATACAGTCTAACCAAAAGATGTTTATTTATATAACAATATATTCAGAATTTTTACATGTGATGTTGATTTGGTTTTGCTATTTCTAACCCTCAACATGATGAGGATATAAGAATGCATATGTCACCTTGTTTTTATCAACACCTATTCCACTTTAAGAACCCCATGTAGTTTGTACAGGAGGTTTATCCCTTTAAAATGTTCAAAACTCACATAACCTATAGGTGTTATTTTAAAGTTTTTAACAGTTTTAATCACTTATTTTCTTCTTATATATTAATCTCTCCATAAAAAGCAATTTATATAGAAGAAGTATATTCCCTTACCAAGAACATGATTCAATTGTTAGATGTTCTGCAACAATCTATAAGAAAATGTTGCAAATATGTATATAATATGTAAATAATACTTCATATGATTTTAGCAAGCTAACTAATAGCTCCAGATCCCCTGTGAATTGCATGCAGCTGACTCACTCCGAATTGCTCATCAGTATAACAGTATTTATGGCATGTGTGCAATGCATGGCACTCATGGATCCTTTGCACAGCACTCAAGTCTTCCAGAGTCAAACACACTCTGGCCTACCAGGAGTCCCAGTGGGACTTCAGATATTCGCTAGTGCAACTCGAGCGGTGATTGCAGGTTATAAGATATAATCCTCAGTTTATGCATTGAAGCACTTAACCCATTAAGGACAAATGACATGTGTGGTCCTTAAGGGGTTAAAGGAAGTGATCTCAGATCACTTCCTCCTAGCAATTGCGTACCTTAATCTGCAGTGGAGTAGAGTATCATATCTCCTGCCCTTGGCATGTACTTGGCCAGCCCAGTTCCCACTGGAGCCCAAGGAAGCTACTCACATTGCTGGATATACACGGAGCTGCAGAAGAAGCTTCCCCCTCATACAAACAATACACACTGCCCCACACAAACGCACACAGAATCCCCATAAATACAATGCCAATAACAATCCACATAAATGCACACAACTCCACAAGCAGCCTCTCACATGCCATACCACAAGCAGCCCCACACCTACACACACCACTAAACACCATATATGACATAACATCCAGGCATACAATTCCACAAACAGCCACCATATACAGTCCACGTACATAGGTATCATACACTACCACAAACTACTCATGAATATATACAATATAACAGCCCACATACACACAAATACAATCAGGGCCGGCGCGTCCATAAGGCGGCACAGGCGGCCGCCTTAGGGCGCACCGGCTCTGGGGGCGCAATATTTCAGTGACCGGCAGGAGGGAAGCTCTCCCTCCTGCCCGGCCACCATCTCGACCCCCGGCGCGGCAGTGCTGTGATCAGGCACGCGAGGGAGCTCTAATCTCCACCCTCTCCGCTCCCTCGCGCGCTGTCTGCTGATGCCGCGGGAGCCGGAATATGACGTCATCCCGCAGCATCAGTAGGCGGCCCGCGAGGGAGAGGAGAGGGTGGAGATTAGAGCTCCCTCGCGCGCCTGATCACAGCCCCCCCAGCTCTCAGGGACCGATCCATCATCCACACCAGCTCTCCAGGTAGGGAGGCTGGGTGGAAAATATGTAGTTATAAAAATAATTAGTGAATGTATGTGATGTGTGTGTGTGTGTGTGTCTGTGAGTGACTGTGTGTGTGTGTCTGTGAGTGACAGTGTGTGTGTGTCTGTGAGTGACAGTGTGTGTGTCTGTGAGTGACAGAGTGTGTGTGTCTGTGAGTGACAGTGTGTGTGTGTCTGTGAGTAACAGAGTGTGTGTGTGTGTGTGAGTGACAGTGTGTGTGTCTGTGAGTGACAGTGTGTGTGTGTCTGTGAGTGACAGAGTGTGTGTGTCTGTGAGTGACAGAGTGTGTGTGTCTGTGAGTGACAGTGTGTGTGTCTGTGAGTGACAGAGTGTGTGTGTCTGTGAGTGACAGTGTGTGTGTGTCTGTGAGTGACAGAGTGTGTGTGTCTGTGAGTGACAGTGTGTGTGTGTCTGTGAGTGACAGAGTGTGTGTGTCTGTGAGTGTGTGTGTGTCTGTGAGTGACAGAGTGTGTGTGTCTCTGAGTGACAGAGTGTGTGTCTGTGAGCGACAGTGTGTGTGAGTGACAGTGTGTGTGTGTGAGTGACAGTGTGTGGGTCTGTGAGTGATTGTATGAGTGTGTGTGCATGTGAGTGTATGAGTGTGTCTGTCAGTGTATGATGAGTGTGTTTGTCAGTGTATGAGTGTGTGTCTGTCAAATCAGTGAGAGTATGTTTGTCATTGAGTCTGTGTGTGATTATCAGTGTGTCTGTCAATGAGTGTCAATCAGTGTGGGTCTGTCAGTGTCAATGAATGAGTGTGTGTCAGATCAATGAGTCTGTGTCTGTCAGTGACGTCTGTGTGTTTGTCATTGAGTGCGTGACTGTCAGTGTGTACAGAGTGTAGCGGAGCAGAGCGCGGTACAGGAACTTCTGTTTCCTGTACCTGGCCAGACTGACAGGAGGTGCTCACAGAGAGAGCACTCCCTGTCAGTCCGGCCGGGTACAGAAAACTGAAGCTCCTTTAGGGGATCTGCTCCACTCGGCAATGCAACAATAGAGGTAGGAGGCACACCAGGCAGGGGAGTGTGACCACTAAAGGGGTGTGGGGTGCACCAAGGGACAGGGAGGGAATGGGAGAGAAACACCAAGAGACAGGGAAAAGGGGGGGGGGAGAAGAACACTAAGGGACAGGGAAGGGAAGGCACTACTAATGGTCAGGGAGGGGAGAGGGGCTGGTTAAGAGGCACATAGGTGAAGATTTTTTTTTTTGAGGGGGGGGGGGCGGAAAAATGCATCTTCGCCTATGTACCTAAAAATCCAAGCACCGGCCCTGAATACAATGTTAGAAAGATACTGCAGCAGCCATAAATAACACCAGCACAATGGCAACATACACACCTGAATTTAAAGCAAATAGGACCAGCACACCAAGGGAATTGCTTTGGCATAGTACTACTAAAAGATTGCCTACCACTGCTGTTTCAGATGTCTATATCAAGACTATCACATCTGCGAGGTCAAGGTAAAAGAATAACCATTATGTTGTGTTGTGTTTTAACCTTATAATATATTGGTGGAATTGAGTATTAGTCTCTCTCAAATGATAGCTTAATATGAAGTAAATGAATGCAAAATTATTTTAAATGAATATATAAATTAGTTCTGACTTACTTTGACTATTAAGAAATTTACAAATTTTTATTACAATTTGTCACTTTTTTATTTGGGTAAAAAAAAAAGTTTCCATATTATGTGATATCTATTGCGATTTTAAAATATATGCTGTTATTTATTAGTACACTGCAGTATAAAATTATGTTTTACTTATTTGTTTTTTAAATGTCACTATTCTTGTAATAAGCACTGGAAAAACATTTTGTTTGGCCTTGTATGGAAGATTTCAGGCTGCAATGTACATCTCTGAAAATATTAGCACTTCTTGATTGGTTTTTAAATATGCATTTTCGAAAGTATGAACAGCCAAGGTCAATGGATGAATTGGCAAGTAACTCAGTTGTTGACATAATGTTTAAAATATTCAATATTGAGCATTACAGGGCAGGGTGGAAGAGGAGAACAAGCATTTCTGTTTTACTCTAAGACCCCAAATATAGTGAGCAAAAAATTTAGGAATGTATAATTAAACCAAGAGGGTTTTTTTATTTCTTTTTTTAATGTCAATGACACTGATGAAAAAGTTCTCGGTGTTGCCAGTGAAAGAAAATCCGCATAACATCTTTCATACTTTACCTTCTGTGGTCTTTTGCTGTGACTGGAGGTCCAACAAAGCTTGCAGACCTTACTTCTAAAGCTATCCAGTTGCACAATAATCTGTTACCCATTGAAATTTAGCTCTCTCCCATCTTCCCTTATATCACTGAACCTTACAGTTGATACTCAAAAAAAATAGAATAGTGTGCAAAAGTTCATTTATTTCAGTAATGCAACATAAAAGGGGAAACTAATATATGAGATAGACACATTATATGCAAAGCAAGATAGTTCAAGCCGTGATTTGTCATAAGTGCAATGATTATAGCTTACAGCTCATGAAAACCCCAAATCCACAATATCCGTAAATTAGAATATTGTGAAAAGGTGCAATATTCTAGGCTCACATTGTCCCACTCTAATCAGCTAAGTAAGCCATAACACCTGCAAAGGGTTTCTGAGCTTTTAAATGGTCTCTGTCTGGTTCAGTAGGAATCACAATCATGGGGAAGACTGCTGACCTGACAGTTGTGCAGAAAACCATCATTGACACCCTCCATAAGGAGGGAAAGCTTCAAAAGTTAATTGCGAAGGAAGTTGGATGTCCCCAAAGTGCTCTATCAAATCACATTAATAGAAAGTTATGTGGAAAGCAAAAGTGTGGAAGAAAAAGGTGCACAAGCAGCAGGGATGACCGCAGCCTGGAGAGGATTGTCAGGAAAAGGCCATTTAAAAGTGTTGAGGACTTTCACAAGGAGTGGACTGAGGCTGGAAACAGTGCTCCACACACAGACGGATCCTGTACATGGGCTTCAGATGTCGTATTCCTCTTGTCAAGCTGCTCCTGAACAACAAACAACGTCAGAAGCGTCTTACCTGGGCTAAAAAAAAAACAGACCTGGTCTGTTGCTCAGTGGTCCAAAGTCCTCTTTTCTGATGAATGCAACTTTTGCAGCTCATTTGGAAACCAAGGACCCAGAGTCTGGAGGAAGAATGGAGAGGCACACACTGCAAGATGCTTGAAGTCCTGTGTGAAGTTTCCACAGTCTGCGTTGATTTGGGGAGCCATGTCATCTGCTGGTGTTGGTCCACTGTGCTTCATTAAGTCCAGGGTCAACACAGCCGTCTACCAGGAGATTTTGGAGCACTTCATGCTTCCTGCCGCAGATGAGCTTTATGGGGATGCTGACTTCATTTTCCAGCAGGACTTGACACCTACCCATACTGCCAAAAGCACCAAAGCCTGGTTCAATGACCATGGGATTACTGTGCTTGATTGTCCAGCAAACTCACCTGACCTGAACCCCATAGAGAATCTATGGGGCATTGCCAAGAGAAAGATGAGAGACATGAGACCGAACAATGCAGAAGAGCTGAAGGCCGCTATTGAAGCATCCTGGTCTTCCATAACACCTCAGTAGTGCCACAAGCTGACAGCTTCCATGCCATGCCTCATTGAGGTAGTAATTGCTGCAAAATGGGCCCAAACAAAGTACTGAGTCTATATGCATGCTTATACTTTTCGTAGGTCCGATATTGTTCTATGTACACTCCTTGTTTTATTGATTGCATGTAATATTCTAATTTACTGAGATTGTGGATTTGGAGTTTTCATGAGCTGTAAGTCATAATCATCGCACTTATGACAAATCACAGCTTGAACTATCTTTCTTTGCATGTAATGCGTCTATCTCATATATTAGTTTCCCCTTTTACGTTGCATTACTGAAATAAATTAACTTTTGCACGATATTCTAATTTTTTGAGTATCACCTGTATATTGAAAGAAGAAACAGTTTTATTGTCCTCGCAAAGATGAGCTGAAACCAAGATTCCAAAATACTAATCTATGCTTGATTACATTGTCACAGCAGTGCCCTGTTCTGTAAATTAGGCCTAATTGTCTAGTCTAGATTTGTCAGTATGCAGCTCTGTTATACTGAGTTTAGAATCAAATGCTATAATTTACAAGCTTTACTAAAGTCAGAATTCAGTGAATTTCAAATCTTACTACTTATCTTTTTTTCCCCACACTGCGCTGGTTTCACTTGGCTGACATCAACTGGTACTGCCTCCATGGCTGAGATAATCAGTTTTGATTATTATTATTATGATATTTATAGAGCGCCGTCAAATTCCGCAGCACTTGGAAGCTATTATTCATGTGCAACAAAACACCACATGGTGCCAATCAGCATCTCCTCATAGAAATGCATTAGATCAATGCATCTCTGAAGGGCATGTTCAGTGCTTCAGTGCAGACATGGAGACACCGAATGTCAGTGCTGCACAGTAAGCAGCACTGATACCGTAAGCACCTCTAGTGGTCGTCTGAGTTACTGCCACTACAGGTGTAGCTTGACAGCAATGTAAACACTGGCTTTTCACTGAAAGGAGTATATATATATATATATATATATATATATATATATATGTAAATGTATATATATATATATATATATACACACAACAGTAAATTAGCATTGATGTTATAGATTAACATATATGTGTGCATATATTGATATGTATATATTTTATGTTTATAATAAATATGTAAAAATATTAATATAATACACATACATTTGAGAAACAGTCCAACATTAAAAGACAATATTTGATCTTATCATTTGGGGTATTCCTTAACCCCATTAGGTGCCAGGCGCCACCCAAAAAATAAGATTTTTCTCTCACTGCTGCTCTGCTCAACCCATGGGAGACTGTCAGTGATAACAGTGTCCCTTCCTTTCTTGCTTAAATTGGCTCATGCTCTGTAATTACTGCAAATGCACCAATGTGGGGGGCACCAAAATAAATTTTTGCCTGTGTAACCATAAATCCATGCATCGGCCCTGTTGTCCAACCAATCTCAAAGTTATGGAATGATGACACCAGGGCCGGACTGGGAATAAAAAGCAGCCCTGGAATTTTTTTACACCAGCCCTAACATTAATTGTGCCAACTGTGACAGATATACAGGTGGAAAAACACAAAAGATTGAAAATTATTTACCCAACGTTTCATCCCCAAAACTTGAATAGTCATTGACTGATAGCTGCTGCATGTCTAATTGAAATTAATCTTATTTTGTTTAGTCCTCAATCCTATGAGTGCACTCTGCGTTGGATATAGTTTAAAACCAGGGAATGAAAGACTGAGAGAAGGGCAGTGTTATCCACTAAACTAATAATTTTTGTGAATAAATCCCAAAAATTAGGCTACAATAGTCTAGCTGTCACTATGGCGAAGTTTGGATTTTTCAAATCTGCTATTTTGGTCTAAATTACGCAATTTAGATTTTCACTTTGTAAAATTAGAAACTTAGTGAATAACCCTTTGACAAATGTAAAACCCTTGTTACATTTACATTCTTGTGTAATCTCCAAATGTGTATCATGTATGCATATGTCTAGTAACATATGTGTATCATACTGATGTTTGTATATATATATATATATATATATATATATATATACATATATATATATATATATGTATATTATAACCATAATAATTTATAAGATTACATCTGTGTGTGTATATATATATATATATATATATATACATATACACACACACACACGCAGTTTGACAAATTAGTTTGGAATCTAGCAGCCAGCTAGAAAAGTTAGGAGCCAGAGAAATCAACGTCAAAAATACAATTCTTAAAGGGACACTATAATCACCAGAACCACTACAGCTTAATGTAGTTGCTCTGAAGTCTATATCCTGAGGATTTCAGCCATGGAGGTGGGGCCAGCCACAGCGTGGAAAAAAGGTGAGTAAAAACAAAACCCTTTCCCATGTGATTGGAGGGAACACACACACTTACTGACTGACTCAGACTCACTCACAGACAGACACAGAGACAAACACTCATACCGACACTCCGACAGACACACACTCACAGACATACTCATAAACACACACACTCAGACACACTCACTCACAAGTAATTACTTTTTTATTTAAATTAAAATCCACCCAGCCTCCCTACCTTTAGAGAGCTGGAGAGAATATGCTGGGGTCCAGTAGCACTGCTGTCATCTCCCTAGTCGGCTCCCTCTCGCGCATTGTTTAGTGAGCCGGGGGACAGAGTGACATCATAACCCAGCTCCGTGAATCACTGCAAGCCGCGCAAGGGAGCAGAGCAGGGAGATTACAGCTCCTTCGCCGTGGCACTAAGTCAGCCACCCGCCTATCTCTGCTCTCCATACTGACATACACACTACAAAAATACACACCAAACACACTCACAACTACACCCTCAAATATAAACACTCTACGAATCAGTACAATTAAAATGAAATGCCTGGGTGCCTCTGCTCACTGAGCCTACCTTGCTCCTTCCCAGCAGCTTCCCTCCAGCTCTCTGACCGGCCTCCCTGCCTGACAGCACTTTACACACAGTAAGCAAAACTTCAGAGGACCCGCGTGGGCTGCCCTGCTCTGCCTGATTGCCAGGTCACACAATTCCTGTGTGTGAAGGCTGTCAGGCAGGGACAGAGACTTCCATCCTCCCTGCACTCACTCCAGGCTTCTGCTGGCTGCCTGCTCATTGTCTCACTCGCGAGCAGCATTGAAAGTTTAATTTCCAGCACTTGTTGCTCGCGAGTGGATAAGGAAAGCCTCTTCTAGAGGTAAGAAGTGACCTGTGATCCACAATGTGAGAGTGCGTGTACTGGGTGGAGGTAGGAAGGGCTGCTGCACTTTGCATCCCCAAGTGCCACGGCCCACCGGGAAATCTCCCGGTATCCCGGTGGGCCAGTCCGGCCCTGGATGACACATTTGTAAAATATACAATGATAACTATTTAGACTGAGCTGAGGGCAGCCTGGGAAAGAGTTCTAAAATTGCTACCAGTTTCAGTTCACAAATATGTTTCCAGTAGGAAGAGCACATAGCCTATGAGATAGTTCATCCAAATAATATACCTATGCTCCAGGCTCAAGGGATAGCAAACCCTTGTAGTACTTCCAAATGCAGAGAGAGTCAAGGCACAACAACATGATAACATTTCAGCCAATATGGACAACCTTTATAACTTGAAAAAGGATGTCCGTAGCAGCCAAAACTTAGTTACGTTATGCTTATTAAATTAAAAAGGCTGCAGTATGATGGAATCCGTGCCTGGATTCTTGTCGTTTACCAATTTCAGTTCAAGGCACTCTAACCAAGTGCATGTTATGATTGAAAAATATTAGCATAACGTGCATTTGAAGCAAGTAATGGTAGCAAAGGTAGCAAATAAATATACAATTAAACAGCTATTTTGTTTATAGTTTGCTTTGCAGACAAACTTAAAAATGTAAATAATGTCAATTTACACAATTAGTTTCACTTATTTATTAAACCTTTAAGGCTTTTCATTTCCCAAATATTTTATAGACAGTATACAGTCCTTTATATGCAATATTTTACATAGTCTGAAATATTAATATGAAAGCAAAAGCACAATTTTCTCACATACAGTAGGTGTGTTAAAACAGTCAAATTTCCTGCTTATAGGCATTTGTAAGAACAGTGAAGTCATTACAGATGTACAGCTTGCTTAAAATGGCAACAAAATGTAAAAGGAATGCTTGAGTTGAGCATAATGCCCACATAAAGCAAAAACTGTTAAATCATTCATTTCTCAAATAAAACTTTTTCAACTATCTATAACATTATTTACCAATCTCTGGAATGTTAATGTAATGATAAAAGTGTAATGGTCCATTCATTATTCCTTCACCTTGACTGTAGGAATGCTATGACCCATTGAAACCTCCTTTACTGTTTGGAAACAGGTAGTGAAATTAAATTTTAACAAATAGTGAACAGTTTATCTGCAGATAAATATGTTCCTCTACAGGCTGGTAATCATTCCTAAAGTATGTATATTTGAAAGCAAAAACGTTTTTACTTTATTCTGGGAGTGAAGTGATTAACTCATATTTTTATATTTTATAATTTTTTTGATAGTCTTCGTTAATTAAGCTATTGATAGTAAGCTTAAGCTTTAATGATACACAAATAGTCAAGTTTGTTTGCAAGTTCAAGTAATAAAAATAATGCTATAGCATTTTATTTTGCCCTGAAGTTTGGAGCATGCTTACTTATTTTGACATTTTACTAAAAAGGACCGATGCCATCTACAAAGTAATTGACTTATAAATATTTGTCACATTCCATTTTAAATGTGTTTATCCCTGTTGTTAGCTCAAACAAATGA